CCCCCCCCCTCCCCCCCATTCACACAAAAAAAGTTTACCTACCCTAGCTACGCCTTTTTAGTCGGTCTCCTTTGATAAAATAATGCTCCAAAATCACTTCAGAGGTATGCACCCTTTTGTGTTCATTTTTCTTTAAATACTTGATATGTTTTATAGTAATTTAAAGAAACACGCACGACCGACGAACTGCCGACACACCGTGACCTACCGACTGTCGGCCGACTGTTTGCGACGACTGTCGGCCGACGCGTGGTGGGATCGTCTGTGAGATCAAATTCCCAAAATCTTGCAAGCTTTACGCCAATGATCACTCTACACAGGGAAGCTCCACAAGTGTGGCCCTCTCATGGTTCCCTCACGCACTTCCTCCCCATCGGTTCTCATTTTTCGAGGCGAAACCTCGTGGTTGTTCCCCGGTTTTTTCCACGCTTCCAATTCCACACATTATCTGATTCCCCGCAGGTAAGAAATACCGAAGAGTCCTGGGCTCTGAAAAACAAAATGGCAGTAGGCTCTTGGCAACTGTTGTTTCTGTATTTTGGTTGTTGTTGTTTTTTTTTTGCATCTTTAATTCAGAGAGATGGAAGGAGCTCACCAAAGGAAAGGAGACCGTTTGGTAAGAAAACTTGAACTTGAAAAACAACGGGAGGAACTTCTTCTTGAAAGAGCAAGGCTTCTTTCACTGAAGAACGAGTTTGGCGAGAGACAATCCAAACCCTCTTCAGAAACTTCAAGAAACAGCTCTGCATCCACGTCGAAATTGTCAGCAGCAATCGAGAGGACGAAAAATAGAATTCCAGAATTTGAAAGGAAAGTTCAAACGCTGAGACAAGAAAACCAAACAAGAACGGATTTACTGAGAAAACCTTATGATGGAGAAATGGGAATCGGGTCCTACGAACCTTGGCAGCTAGAAGATTTCTACTTTGTTCGAGAGTTTGTACGGTCATGGATTGACGAGGTTTTGGATTTTATAGTTCGAGAACGCCCCAGAAATACATCTGAGCACGAATTATCAACTATCGCTGAGCGGTTTTTTGAAGAACTTGAAGTGGAAAAGAGACATGATAAAATTTTCCAGTTGAGTTTTGATATTGAGGAGAGTATTCTCGCGGATGTTATTCACCAGGCTGCCAAGGAAACAGCTAGAGAAATTATGGCGTTTGAAGCTCAAACCAGGAACATGCTTGACGGTATCATATTGCATTCTTTTGATCTACAATCCCGAGCAGATGCCCAGAGTACCTTGATTAACAATGCTCTTTCACAAATGAAAAAGGAAGCTCAGAGGAAAAGGGATGTATGGTCTCACAGCCAAACGTTCCACTTAGAAGACAGTGTACAAGGAACTGACATGGCAGTAAATGAAGAAGACGACAGCTTTGATGGAACCATTCTGCACTTCCACAACATCAAACCTTTCAGTGACCTACCTGATGAAAGTCTACTCTCGGAGCAAGTTGACTTTCAAAATGAAGAATCAGAATTTTGGATGGGTAATGGTGTCGATCTTTCAACTCTGCCATTACCAAGACGATACAAAGGCATTTCATGTAGTGCTGTATCACCCAATGACAGCCTCATTGCCCTTGGCTCTGTTCAGGGAGATATTCTTACATGGGATTTGACAACCCACCCACCACGCATATTGAGAACTAGCCGTGGGAAAAATGCTGCTGTCTCGCAGCTCCACTGGAGTTTTGACTCTTCGTTAGTGGTCAGTCTCAATGAATATGGTGTTGTTACAGTATGGTCTCTAGGCAACACTGTATCTGTACCTTATGATGTGAAATCATTTGAACCTATTGAGCAGAATATTGGTTTTAAGTCCACTGCATTAATTCCCTTGTTCACTCTTGAACCAAGTGACTTGGTTTTCACAAGTGGACCATTTTCCAGGTCTAAAGATTTTGCACATGAAGCAACAGCAGTAGCATTCCATCCTTCTTCTTCACTTCTCGGGAAGCAAGCATTTTTAATGGTAGGATTAAACAATGGTAACATACTGAGACTGAAGTTCACTGATGTTTCATCTGTGATGTCTTTTCCACAAGTTCACCCAGCAAATGGTACAACTCATAAGATTGGTGAAGACATTGATGCTGAACTGTTCAAAGCTCATCGTCATGGCATTACACTGATAAGTTTTGTAAACAACATTTCTCCCATGGTAACTGCAGATGAGAAGGGATTTATTTACTTGTGGGAGTATTCCAGTGAACACTTATCGGGATTTGGCTGGTTTGTTCCCAGTATCAAGTACAGACTGAAGTTGTCAGAAATGACTTACAGGCCTGTTGTAGGAGCACAGGAGAAAGTTGAGTTCACTGATGTTGTGAAAGGTCCGAGTAGGAAACAGCATCGTCTCAGGTAACAACAGTCTTGAAAATTCAGTCTTCACTTCCTGGGCAAGCTTGATGACATGAGCGATGCTGTAGAGTTCCATTACAGGAACAGTTTTCATCAGTTACTCTTGTAATAAGTTGCATAAGAATAAATGTATGAAAAGGGTTTTGAAATTTTTTGTTTTTGTTTTTTTTTCAATTGAGGGTGAGATTAGAAAAGGGAATCCATGATAAAAATTCTGCTACATCTAAACTCTATATATATATTTCCAAGGGTCTTAATAATAGCAGGCAAGTCAAGAAATTAAAGAAAATGCTTTGCTTCATTTTGTTGTCACAATTAGCATTTTTCTACTTATAAATTCAACTTCCAACACTTCGTACATTAGTCAACTGAAGATGACAGTTGGTTCTGTCAAAACATGTCTTTGAAACTTAGAAGTTTTGTCATTTTCTTTATATGAATGTAGTATATTTTTTGTAATTATTCACATTGGCAATCTGTATTTACATGTAATACACATGTGTGTAAATTGCTTATAATTACAAGACAATTCAGGCTTGGACAAATGAGCTAGAAGTGCTAAAAATTCTACTCAATTTTCAATTTACCGACAATGTTTTTGCTGTCGTAACACCAAGTTACACTAATGATGACTGGTATTTCTTTTGGAAGAGTGGAGAAGCAGTTGGCGTAAATTTCTTTTTTTTTTGCGTATTTTGTTTAGTTTTATGTTATTTGCATGTACTGTTTTGTTAATTTATTTGCTATAATTTTAAGCTATAATTTGTGGTACTTTGCTTTTTTAGGCAAGAAATGATTGCAAAGCAGAAAAAGACCCAGAAGTATATCAAATCACTTCAGTTGGGAAAACCATGGAAGATGGATGAGGAAGATGACAAAGTTACTTACATTTTTGCGCCAAAGAATGTCCCTGAATCAGGATCAACATTTCACTGTGTAACTTATAACACATCATCAGGTTTATTAGCCTCTTATGTCACCAAGCTGTACAAACCCGTCGAAATTCCATGCTCAAGGGTTATCTCCTGTGCAAAAAACTTTGCAGGAACTAAACTTGTGTACATGCTTCTGTTTCCCAAAGCAGAACCACAGGAAGCTCATGTATCATTTGTCATCATCAATCTTGAACCTGAAGTGAGCGTGAGCAAGAATTATGTTCACATCAGGCTCAGCAATGACGATTATGTTAAATGTTTGTATGGGGATACATGCTCCTTTGGCATCTCACAAGCCATAGATGCTACGGCAAGTGAATACATTGTGACCAATGTAAACAGCACTTTAACTGCAGTTTCCATGACAACAGGAAATGAAGTCATGGCAGAGACTGAGGATAGATGGGTGGGTTGCCATCTTAGGTTTAAGAAAGGCCAG